AAAACTTGAAGGAGAAGCTATGTCTGCTGACGAAAACGCCATTTCTAATGCTTTACCATCATTAAGAGAACGCTTTTCCAATTACCCCCCTCGACAAAATATATAATATGGACGAAACAGGCTTATTTTACAGGTAGATAAGATTGTTAACAAAATATATTTCATGTCATAATTAGTATATACTTAACATGACATGTTATTCTTAACATTCATAAACAATGGCATCCGTTCACTAGCTCACAGAATACAAATAGTAAATCAATCTAATGAACAAAATTTGGTCCTAATTGAAATGATATTTTGCGGTTGGGCTCAGGAAATGACCTTGTCGTTGTCAATGCGCGGCGCGCGTAAAAGGATATGTATGATCCGTAGATAGTCATGTCATACCCCTTTCCCCCGTGATCAGTTTTGAGGTGCAGAAGTCAAATCATAGGAGATGTGTGATGAGTGAGGAAGGAGAATACCCCAAGGTTCCAGAAGGAGCACCAGCGTGGTGTGTTTGATAGTATACTCTTATAAATATGAAACATTATACACTTAATTAGACAATCGACAATTACTGGCCACAAGTTATTGCAATAAAGAAGATATTTTAATCTAATAGCTACATGTGATGCAATTACCTTGACTAGCCTGGCGGTTTGCAGTAACGGTAACCTGCATTTAATTTACGTACTATCATTGTCACTATAGTCAATTAATCGAATGAGACGGCGTCTATTAAGAAAAAGATTTGTTTCGAATTTCTTGGTAATACTGAAGTATTGGCATACAAATGTCACAAACAATCTACTCATCTCGTTAAGAATTAGCGTAATATTTTTAATGTGTTTGAAAACTCTCTCTGTTTACTACCATTACTTCCGTTCGAACTTTATATCATTAATTGTAGTTTTTTGAAAAAGAAATGATGATTTTAAAATTTTGTATTACTTACTCAGAAATTGTACATACATACTGTTCTAACCCATTTCCTTATGTATTGTATTTTCTTTTGTTAAGCGCCAGCCAATTCTAACCAGGAGGGAGGAAGCGAAGCTCCAGGAAATTAGTATCTGATTTACATCCATCGCGAACGGCAATATTTGACTTATTGCATAAATTTGTAATAAAATGTAATTGTTGAATATAATAAACGTAAACAATAAAAACATAAAACGTAGAAAAATTGCACACACAATCTCCGTAAAGCCTTTCTAGGTGTTAGTAGGATTGTACTTAAATGTCGGCTAATCTAAGGCAATAGAAAAGCGAAGCCATGATTGTGTGTAGCCAGTAAGCATCAGTGCTATAAAAAGTGTCCACCGGTTTGGAGTGTATACTGTATATCGAGAGTTGTGATTTATTTATTTTTATTTTTATTTTTATTTTATTTTTTTGTAATGGCAAGGAGATCAAATTAAGTTAAGGGAGCGATAAAAACGACAAGGGATATACGAATAGAAAGCTTTATTTGCACACTGTTGGGACTGATTTTTATGCAAATAGACAGAATATGCAAATACACTTTATCACATGATCATATTACTCAAAATTTTTTATGCACTCGTAAAATATGTTATCGCTATCATTTTACAATGAAAGAAGCAATAACTTTCGAGATAGAGAGAGATATTACCGTCTCAAGGTATTAATATTCCAACTTTAAAGTTAAATGTTTTATTATTATATTATTGTTATTGCCATTATTATTTAGATACAGAACCCTATAAGAACGGAAGATTTCTTGAATCCTGTTGAAGAACGTGAAATAGAAGAACTTGTGGATAAGGAGACAATCATTCAGTTAATCCAAGAAGGCGGTGAAAATCGGAATGAGGGAAAGATAAGGAGGGAGAAATAAGTTGCCAGTTGTTTCTGCTAAGGAAGAATTGAAAGCGTTAGAAATAGTCAATATATTTTTGTTGCAACAGTTTCAGATGAGATTAGGAAGTTAACTAACATAAAAAATACCATGCAAATAATTTACTCTGAAACAAAGCGACATTAGTAATTTTTTATGCCACAATATTATAATAATAAATTTAAATCGATCTTTTTTATCTCTCCTTTTATAGTATGCATATATACAAATATACGTTACTAGAGTTAGGGCCACTTTTAATGCATGTGCACGTTCACGTTATGCAATAGCTAATAGGTCCCACTAAGAAACCGGGCTCCTTTATTCAAATGAACAGGTGCGACTGTATATGTCGTATGCAAATACCGTCACTATGTAAATCCCGTTTAGGGTCCCTAAAAACCGCATTTATAGTATATTATGTAAATCCCGTCCAACCGTATTTACATGTAAATCCGGGATTTTGGGATTTACGTACAACATATATAAGCGTAAGGGGGGAAAGTCTTTGTGTATATTGAGGTAAGTGTACAGTAGCACGAAAACGTTTAAAATATGCATAACCAAATATCAAAGACGACTGATGTTAATTTTTGTGTGTGCGAGGTGAGTGTAAAGAAAAATTGCTAATTGCGTGTCTGAAGAAAAAGGCTTGAGACAATACAAATTAGGATACATACGCACACTAATGATTAATATGCTCATTAAAGCATACTGATATTAATATAGTAAGTAATATAATTTAAAGTTAGTCCATAACAATTCCATCCGCAGTTAAAATATAAGATCGACACTTTCAGAAAGAGAACGACACAAGCACATACAGGACGTATTTTAAGAAGAAAAATACTGAATAAATCCGTTGAGTAGTCGCATAAAAGAAACTGTGATATACGGCCGGCAATAGTAATACGACAAGAAATATAGAGTATAGGTAAAGCGTTAATGATATGGTAAGTCATCACAGCACGATAATAAGCAAAAAATTGGCATGAAGTGATCAAAAATTTCTATGAGAGTTGATAGACATTGAATAAATATATTATCTATGAAAAAGATTAACACGTCTATTAACATAAATGGTACATCTCAACACTTGAACTGCAACAACACATCGACAACAACGGTAATTGCAACAACCTTTAACGATGAAATTCTACTTTTTATGTAATAACTGTGTCTATTACTTTACCTACGATTATATTGTATTGTGTCATGACTCAATTTCATTTTGCATATCAACTCAATTATTTATAATTAAGTATTTTGATAATCGCTATAATTTCAGCGCTACAAAGTCAAAGACAACTTCAACCAATTATTACTACTGATCTTAGTTATTGTTATATATTTTTGTCCTTGATTATTTATTTGCTTAATAATAAAGGCTTTAATTTAATAGCGGTCGTTCTTTGAATGCTATTAAGAGCGGAACTTACAGAAAAGATAACACATCCGGACGTTGTGTTCCGATCGATGGTAAGGACACAATCTTGGATCATGTCACACAGATATAAACAGCAATCACACAGAAATATATGCTGTCGATAAAGCGACTTACAAATAAGCACTTAAGATATGATGATAATTGCCCAGAACTTTTATTATGAAATACGATAAGTGTCACAAGATGGCGTAAACGTCTATTTAGACATTTTGTAACGTAATCATTTTAGTGCTTTGATCAGGCGTTTTTCCTTCTAACGAGTAAACCACTTGAAACATTACTTATATTGTTATGCAAATGCAGACATAATGTTTTTAACAAACCATAAAACGCTTTATTCGTGATTTCATTTATTTGGTGTTTCACTAGCACAACATACAAATATTTACGTGCTTACTATAATATATAAGCTAAGCTAATAAACTACCTCACAAACTTTATACCAACATTTATCATATGTTACAGTATAACATGATACTCAAAATAAAAATGTAAAAATAAAACTCAAAAAATTTTGACTCTCTTACAAATTCAAATTTCATATATAAAGGAGTATTACCGAAGTGAAACCCCCCATAACCTAATATTCGTAGTCGAAATCCAGTCATCCTACAATAGAATATTTCAAGGAATGAATGGCTGCTGCTAAGACAAATATCGACAAGTTCATCAAGTATACATCGAGTAGTCATTGCTTGAAAAATTCTGCTGTGGGGTAACAGGATGCCACTACGAATGATAGGATATGGGCAACCACTTTGAATATAATCCAGTTATATTTTGTCGTCGTCGTCGTCGTTAACGTTGCGTACCGTCATCATTCGTATAGTACTCATAATCAAAATATAATGACAACCCATCGTCATCCTGAGTCACAAATTCTTCCGGAGTCGTGGTGCTCGCTGGCGAACTTTTAATGGATTGACCAGTTGCAGGGAACGTGGGTATGATGTCGCTAAGATAAATAAATTGATCGGTGCCGGTGGTCATAGGATCGATATATATTTTTGGGCTGTGTTGTGGAGTTTCAGGAGGGTTAACGTTTGGAAATCTCTGTCTTCTTCTTCTTTTAGAACCGTCCACGTTTCTTCGTGGTTGTGGTTTGTATTTGTAATTCGGATATTTTATGGCATGCCGTTTTTTTGCTTCCTTAGACAACATTTCGAAGTATTCTTTAACTACGGGAAGAGCGTTCTTCCACTCATTCATGGAGCGTTTGCTCCCATAAATAAACTCCATCCGATGGAGCGCCCTAAAATTTTTTCCGAATAATATATGCGGCTCCTGTGGACGGGGAGGTGTTGGTTTCGATTTCGATCGTCTACCAGGGGCTAAAAGCTCCTCCACTGTCATTCCTAAAGTTACTCCCATTGGTGGTTCCAACAACCATGCCGAATATCTGAGTTCCGTGGCTGGGTCTTTGTTGAATGTTATTTCCTGGAAGTTATCCATATTGCCTTGATGACGATGGGTTTCGGTTGGTGATAATGATAGTAATGATGATGGTAATGAATATTGTGATTATGGTATTTGTTATTGTAACTATACGACGACGACGACTGCAATAAGAAAAATTTGTTTGGGGGGCAGATGAGGGTTTTTAAGTTGAATATCATGAATTGAGTGCGCCATCACAGTGATACACCTATGTAACATATTTAACATTATTGTTATTCTTAATTAAGCATGCACATATTATTTTGCATCGGGTATGACATCCACACTTATTTGTGTAGTGTGTAGTGGTTTTATTCGTAGATTAATCGATGTGTAACGGTGTATGTTATACCAATACGCAGTAGAGTCGTAATCGATGTGGGTACTTTCCAACTATAGTCGTAGTTTTTCCGTTATCGAACACATCTTTGTCAATATTGATTTCTCCAGGCTGGATATTCCTGCTTGGTGATGACGGAACTTTAAAGAGTTAGTAACAAAAAAAAAGTAGATGAATAACCTATCTTTCTATTCATAATGTATTCTTTGTTCAATATTCGATCAGGATTTCTGTATTCGAAAGTGCCATCTACACAATGAAATTTTAGAGTTAAGGGGCTGAGTATGGTCAATCATTACTAAAAACGAACAACAGTGCTTTCTTAAAAAATCTTGTGAGATGTAACGATACAATGGGGAAAATGGGCTAATGGGGACATGCAGCTGTATCAATGAAACTCTTCCAAGCATATGCATACAGATAGGTTGTGTATCGGTCAAGGCATTTTCAAGGAAAGAGAAATAGCACAATATTAGTCATGGGGTTCTGATCCCAGAACCGCACGCAGTAAATTTGATTAAATGAGGGCATATCATTTTATCGGCTAGTCAAACAATCTCCCAAATATTTGACACTTGTATCCCTTTCAGACAAAAAGTCTAGTTACTAAAACAATATTGGCTTAAGCTTGTATTACTTCATTATTCTATATTGTTTACAATCGTTTTTTATCTTTCTTTATTATATCTTATATGGCAGCCTGTGCCCAGCCTACCATCTTCAGTACGGCAATTACATTTGCAAGCACGCCATGCGCAACAAAAAGTTTTTCCGATCCTGATAATTTTTGTGATGCAATCTTTTCGCTGCAATGTTGTTAAGCGCGCCCATAAATTTTTTAAAGACAGCATATTGACGACGAAAATAACTTTGCCAATTAATAGGAAATTGTACAATTTCTCAGAACCACCTGTTCCAATCGATGGTTTCTGCTTTCCACTATTATACCATGTATGATATGTTATCCCCTAAACTGGTGGCCATTTGCAGGCAAATTTGCCTGCACTTTTTGACCCCCTCTCTTTTGACTATGTCACTATGGCATTATCTTTAGACTTAATAATAAAAGTTTTATGCCTAGATGTGTAATTTAACATATTTCAAAACTACAGCAAATGGGTTCCCCCCTCTATTAAATAGAAATTATTGACATACTTATTGCAAATGTATTAAGGCAAAGATTATAGTGAGCAGACGTTTCTATGTGAATCAATCTATGTTTAAAAGACAAGCATGTTTTTTCAGGAAAGTAGCATGATCATCAGAGACATAATTTAAATAATGATTGGATAAATTTAAACACTAAATTAACCTTTAGGGTAATCTTGAAAACAATTGGGTCTTGCTTTAGAGCAACAAAGAGGTACATTACATTTAATACACCAAAGTTGAGTT